AATACAAATTGTATTTCTTCATTCTAGTATAATCCATCATTTTCACACTATATAAATACATAACACACAGCCCAATTACAGTACCTTTAGAGTATTTCCTATTTAATTAGATAATAAAGCTCCTGGTCAGACTCTAGTTTTCAGTAGGTTATTTGGGAAATCCTTTTTCTTTTTTCTTTTTCTTTTTCTTTTTTTTTTTTTAAATAGACTCTATCTGTTATGAAGACACATATGCAAAGCAGCTGTAATGTGAGCTGATGTGAGCCCCAAAGGGTGCTGCTGAGGCAGGGTGCTGCTTTCACTTCAAAACCCCCAGCTCCTTCACCCGCTTCCCTCGCCTCAACCACACTTCTGTTCCTCTTGTGCCACCTTGAGGGAAAGAACCTCTGCTGCATAGGTTGAATTTACTGAGTTGTCTGCTACCCCAAAATCCAAATACTCTGCTGTCATATTGGGTTTTTCTCAGGGCCACGGCCAGAACAGCTTTTGCTCCTGGTTATAAAAGCAAAGAACAAAGTTTTGGGCCACGGTTCCTTTCTGTCATGCCAGTGCTACTGCTCCAGGCAAGGCAAAATTCGGAGGTCTGTCCCTAGGTTTGTCACCGGGAGGGAGGGGGAAGAATTCAGCTAAATCTCTCAGCTTTTGTTTGCACAGCCTCCTCTTCTGAGACTGGGAGACTCCTCTGGTGGGGCAGCTCAGGTGGGTGAACTGAGCCCCACCATCCACATCTCTATTATGGAAACTGTCCAAAGGTCTTTTTGTTTTGCACAGCTTCTCCCTTGGCTCTTACTACTTTGTCTACACAGAAAGGTAACAAGAAGGAGAAAATAATGGAAAGAAGTAGCACTTACCTCTATAGCCTCCCCTGCAAAATATTTCTTTTAAACTTACCTTTAAAGGACACTAAATAATGCTGTAAAACCTTTTGCCATAGACAGAAAATTGATGCTCACCTGAAAACACCTCCAGAGAAAAGTCTGGCCTGCATAGACAGTTTGATGTGGGAGAAGAAACAACCCCCTGGATGAGCAAATCCTGGCTATGTAGTGGGCAAAGAGAAACTGCCAGTCTCCAAAGACTTGTATGGATTGTCTCAAACTCGTAGGCTTCTTCACTGCTCATGGAACTATGGAACAGCTTCCTGAAGGTAGCCAAAACACTTCTGCACCATAAAGCTTAACAGAGCTCTGGAGAAGACACGTCATAATTACAGCATTTTTTTTTAGTATTTAGAACTTCTGCAGAATGCCAACCCAGAGTTGCATGCTGTGGTTTTAATGCAGACCTCTGACTTCTGGAAGATTTATTCTAATGATTATCCTGTTGAATTCAGCTGCTGAGTTCATGGATACACTGATAGCTCATCCATGTCATCTGCCTTAGATCACACCATGATTTTTTCACAAAGACCAGCTAAACCTAGAGAACCTGTATTTGTTTGTATTAACATGGAAACAAGTTGAAATGAAATCCAGAATTTTGTGATTTTTTTTTTTTTCTTTTGAAGGTCAAGTTGCTTAGTCCACCTTACACTTCACATCAGGAGGCACAAGTTGAGTGCAGACATCTCATAATCTCCTCGTCCAAACAGGCCTGATGACGATGAGAAGTTCTAGTGATCCCAAGGATGATTTCACTGCCAGAAAGAGGAGCTACCCTGACACCTAGTGCTAGCTGCTGTCTTCTCAAAAAAGACTGGAAATGTTTTCAAAGCCATGAAACCCACTGCTTTTCCCTCCTGGGTTAAATTACAGGCAGTTTCACTCTCTGTGACTTCTCTGTTGCAGTTTCAGGGCAGGTGGGAGGCAATGCAGAAAGACTCATGTCTACTCCAGCCGAGCAGGTGAGCAAAACCAGTGACTTCTCTGTTGCAGTTTCAGGGCAGGTGAGAGACTCATGTCTACTCCAGCTGAGCAGGTGAGCAAAACCGGTGTGGGTGGAGCTGGTGGGACAGTGAAGTCTTGTCTGCTCCTGGAAATGCAGTGCTCAGCAACCTCTTAGTGCCAGACTCCTCTTTCAGCCCTGGTATCCTGCTGTGGGCACCAGCCCAGCACTGGACTCTGACTTGGTTTGCTTTTCCACCCCTTGAGCAAGCTTTGGCTTCCTGTAAGGCTGTCTGAGCAGCTGCTTGTGCAGTGCAAACCACCTGAGCTGGCAGCTCAAACCCATCCAGCAGTGAACGTCAGCTCTGAATCAACAGGGAAAATGCCTGGTCAAATAAAAGGGTCACCTACTTTTGTCACCATCACTGTCATTTTTACAGTACTGTTCATCTGCTTCTGTTTGGGCAACAGAAACACAGGTGCCAAGAACTGAGTGAGCCTCTGACCTGGAAAAGCGGCCCCTCTGAAAGGAGGGGAGATGCATTTTGGGGGTCTCTCGTGCCCCTTCCAGGGCATAAAATTACTTTTGTCTTCCTGTGCATGTTTTCTGAGCTCTCCCAGAAACAAGAATTTAAAGCACTGCTCCTTTTTTTCATAATTTGAAGCCAAGCGTATGTGAGGAAGACACAACCGACACCAGAGAGAGATGAAAAAGATACTGGTCATTTTTTTATTGAGCACCAGAGTGGCAGAACCTGTACATGTCTAAGCACCAGAGACACACACCAGGCAGGGTCTGCCTGGGGTTGCTGCAGATCCTCAGCTGCTGCAAGGCTGAGCAGCTCCACAGGCAGCACGTGAGGGTCCGGAAGGCCATGAGCAGTGCTAGCACCCAGTAATACACGTAATTATAGCACCAAACATGCTTGAAAGTGAACATGGGAACATTAAAAACAACCTGCATTAGTGATTTGCTACTGTGCTTCACAAGGCAAGCAAGTCTTTGGAGAGAAGGCACTCTGAGGACAACTCACTTGGTCTGTGTTTTCTTTGGAAGTCCTCACGGATGTCAGGGCTTCTGAGTTTGACAATTAATAACTTGAAAAGAACTAGCTTGAAAAACACCCCAAGCATTATAGCACCACGAGGAAGGGTGATGTCTTTGGAAACACCTAGTAAACAGAAATTAATCAACAAATTATTCATTTATCAATTTTCTTTTTAAAAAGTTCCTTTTGCAAGTATGAAATACCTTTGCTATCCTGTCCAGCCAGGTAGTCAGGTATGTGCTTTTGTAGCTACAAAACAGCAGGCACTGAAGTAAATGTGTCCCTCAAATGAAGCATCTTTTTTGATGCTTTGCAAGATTAGGTTAAGATCTGAAGTATTAAACTTGCAAATTTGTTAATGCTCAACACAAGTGTTTCATCTAGATCCTCACAGGTTTTTAGCCATTGATTTTTTTTTTCTCTTTTAAAATAGAACAATTTGGCACTTATTCTTTGGGGCTCAGCAGTAACCACTGAAAGGCTTTGCTCATTTAATCAGAATCTGATTTTTCTACAAAAAGTAATGCTGAAAAAAATCATTCCATTTCTCTGAGCAGCATCTTGGAGGAAGGCTGCAATAAGACTTGCATTATGAGCTGCATTGTTTTAAGTTGTCAAGCAATAACAGTGACAAAGCAGCAGTTTTCTGCCCTAAACTGAGACTGTAACTATAAAACATGGATGGGCTCCTACCTCCCAGCAGGAGTTAAGATATCAGTGAATGAAGCTGTATGTGATAAAATTCTAGAAATAGTTCTGTCCAAATATGGTGGTGTATTTAGTATGTAGACTTGGAACAAAGGCACAAATAAGGGACTGGGGTTCAACAAATGAAGATTTAGGAAACTGTAGAGCCATTCCCCTGTTTCTTTGCTCTGTAACACATCATAGAGTGTGCCCGTTTATGATAGGAACCAGAGCAGCAGTTTGGCATCTTTCATCACTCCAGCTGCAAATGTCATATGCAAAGTATCAAGTGTTTTATACGAGTCTTAGCCTTGGCTTAAAACATTTGGTGAGTGGAAAAAAAGCCCGTAGTTTGTGGGTGGAAGGAGACACTTGTATTTGTGAATTGGGTATTTATATGCACTGCTACTACTCTGCATACTGAAATGGTAATTTTGTGCATGCAGATGGGGACACCTACTAAACAAGGGAGCAAACATGGCTTCTTTGCTTAGCAAATTCTGGCAGGTTTGTCAAAATGAAATACAATTGTCCCTTCAGGACTGCTGCAGAAAAGGAAAACATTCACAGAAAATGTATTTTCCATTTTATAATTGCTAAACCGCCAAAAGAAGCTGTAAGGCCCAGACACAAATAAATTGACCTTACGGATTTATGGAAGTCAACATAAAGGCAGAGGACTTGTAAAGAACAGTTGCCCATCTGCCAGACAATCCTTTTAATCACACGAATTTATCCTGCTCTTGCCTTTCTAATATATACAACAAATAGTCCAGACTTCAGCCCTTGTACAGAGGTTTTGCAGGTACGAAATCACAGATGTATTAACTGTGCTGGCTAAAATTAACAGCTTAAAGAGACTGGTATGAATGTGTGCCTGCTTAGATACTGTAGAAAGACATCTGTTCCATCATTAGCTCTTGATCTGCAGCTCATCAGACTGAGAAGCTAAAGGGAAGTCACTTAAAAAATAAATACAAAACCTGTTTTACTCCTAGCTCAGAGTTCCTCAAATTCTTAAGATTTTAGGTGTGGGTGTGTAGACTGGGTGTCAAACCTGATGAACACTAGCTATGAATAGGAAAAGGAGAAACCAGAAACCTGCAGGTTTCTTTGAATTTTAAGATAATGAAAACAAAGTAGTTGTTTGACACAGGCAGGCACTGCATTTGATCCAGAGAGCCCCTTCAGTCTTACATTCTTGCCTATTGTAATGCAACTTAGGTATGATATTTAGGTATAATTCTGATGTTGCTTCATTTTTATAATACTGAGTTATGTTCATGGTTGTGCAATCTGAATGGGTCACAGAATATGCACAGAGAGGGCAGGTTCTGCTCCAGCAGCCTAATCATGGTGCTGTGGCTCATAGGAATCCGCTCAGAGATATTTACATGTCATTGGTAGAAGAGTGGCTGAGAAATGGTGTGATCTCTTTCAGGGGAACACAATTCTCTCCCTGCTTATAGGATTAAAATCTAGACCCATCCTGTTCCTTGAATAGCAAAGTCTTTTTATCACTGGTGGGCAGGGATCAGTGTTGGAGATGTGCTCATGGAGATTTGGGACCAGAATTCTTCCAAAAGAGAAAACTGTTGGGTAAAGCATTCCTTGACATCTGCTTAACAGAGTGGTCCAGCTGGGTGAAAATCAAACAAAAAAAGGGAATTAAAATATTTGTCCTTCTTGGGATGTTTGCACAGAACTTGTCCTTATGTAGCTGTGTAATCTTAACAGTCAGCCTGACGTAGGTACATAACAGACACACTGAACTGCTTTGTTTTCATAATTGCCAGTTAAGCTCAAGTTAGTTTTAAAGTGAAGCTGAAAGTGTTGAGAAAACCACCTCGGGACAGAACCGTTGGTATAATAAGTATTTTCATTCTTGCCCTGATAAAATGATTGGAGCTTTTTCAGTTGGCTTTGCTCTGGCCAGCTACATGTACTCACATGAGTGGATCTCACTGTTCAGTGGAACTCTTCACACACACAGTTACACCCCAAAACCACCCATATGCCTAAATATTTGCAAGAATGACCCTAAATGCAATCAGTCCAAAATGAAGAGCTTTCTAATTCAGTTACACCTGCAGTAGAAGAACCCCCTAAACACAAAGTTTAAAGTCTTAAACCTCACAGAGTTTTGCAGCATTTATTTTTTATCCTGAAAGTCACTTCATCCTGTCAACACCCACAAGGCTTCAAAGAAATCAGGTGAAATTCGAATAAAAAGTGGGAGGGGTGGAGTGAGAGCTGAGAAAGACACTAAGTTCTCCACAGACAGTTTGCAGTGCTCCATCCCCAATGCTACAAGTTCTTGGGAAACTTTTACACCACCATCTGTTTGTTAGCTCAGCTCAAGTCATGGAGCCTGAGGTGTGTCCCTGTACATAGTTTTAAGACACTTTCCCTGTCACGGTGTAAGAGAGGTAATTTCACCCTCAAACAACTGTTTACTTAATTAATAGTCAACTAACCACCAATTATTTTCACCCAGCCTTCCCCTCCTTCACAGGACACTTACCCAGGCACACTTTGGATTAGCCTAAATGCTTCTGCTGGTTTTTCACATAGCCAACCACGTTGTTGGAATTGCTTCCTGTAAAAGCAATATCAGCAAAGTCAGATCTTAGGTTAGCCTGGGGCAAATGTTTTCTCATGACTGTCTAAGCAGTCCAGTCTGATTATCTAGCAGTGCTCAGGGAGAGCTGCAACAGCACACTGGACAGAGGAAAGGAAATCCTTTCATAGTTTTATCAGCTAAATGGGCCCAATTTGGCTGGTTGTAAATCTTATGATATCAAATATGTTGTCTAGTTGTATCAGAGTATCACTTCCAGTCTGATCTGACTGTTCTCCTCCTGCTCGTGATCCAAGAGTTAGCAGAACACAGGAGCTTTGAAGACATGAGAAAACAGACAATCTGGAAGATCTGCTTTCTTTGAGACCTCAACTTGTGCAAGGGACCTGACACTTCTTGTGGTTGCAGGTGACAAGAATGGACTGATTCATTTGGCTCCAGTCATCACACACCACAATACAAGCTCTTGGCAAAAGACTCTTCTTTTGGCAGAGCTCTGTGTTCATCTGCAAGGAGTCCTGGGCCATGAGCAAAGCTCCAAAAAATTAACATAAACAGTACAAAAGTAAATTGGGTTGGGTGTTTCCCATCTGTTGGGCAGGAACCCCTTGCAGAAGGCTATGTCAGCTGAAGATACTGATTCCCAAGAATCCACAGTCAGGGCATTGCAGATGTTAAAATTCTGAGCAAGCCATGGAGAGCTGAACCTAAAGAATCATTTCCTGCTGTGCAAGAACCTTCCTTTCATAATCAGCAAATTCATTTTAAGCAATAACAATAAACATTTCATGCCATCAGCTTACCAAAATATTCCTTGTAATACTTCTGCCTCAGGTTGTGTCCATCTGTGAAAGAAGGTACAGAATGAGAACATACCCAGTCAGCCTTCATTCTTGGTGTTAAACTCCAGCCTCCTGTGTACAGCACAGATAAATTCTAGACATGGAAACAGTAACCTCACAAACTGGAGACCAGAAGATCTCTGTAGCTGAAGTGGGGCATCTTACCAAACTGTTTACATTATTGAACTATGCAGACACAACTCATTTCCCCTGAGTGGCTAATTGCTGGCCACCAGCATGTTCTGCTCTTTTCAGTACCTATGAGTCAAGGAATCACAGACTTTCTCAAATGAAAGAAAATTTGGGTGAAATTTCAGGCCATCTATTAATGTATTACTTAATTCAAGCTCCAGCTAGGTTTTTCTGTTTACTATTTATATTGCTATTTAAGCTCTTAGAAATACCTGGTGTTTAAGAGCCATAGGTTACACTTTTTTATATGGAGGCTATTAAAATATATATATAAAAAGAATAAAAGAGATGGCAAACAAATTAGAAGTTGAAAAACTCTTAGTCTTTTATGGAAGCAGTTCAGAAATCTGGTTTGATAGTTTACAGTGAAGAAATGGTAAACCTAGTGTCTCATGTCTCTACATTTAGATGATTTGTAGCCCAGTGCAGACATATATATCTACCATTCATAGACATGTTATGAGCTTTCCTGGAAAACAGTGTGGCCTAGATAAGTTGCTATATTTGGCAAATGTCTCAGTAGAAAAAAAAGGAACAATTTTCTGGATGCAGAAAACAAGGTAAGAAGTCAGAACTGGAATTTGAATCTTCTTTGTGAAGTGTATAGGAATCTGTAAATATTTCTGTTTTTTCTGCTGTGTATAATGGCATAAGCAGGTCACTACCTGCTATGCTTGCAGAGTCCCAGAGGACACTGACATAGAGAGCAAACAAGAAGTGTGTCCCCTCACATGGGTAAGCTCAGCCAACATCAAGGAGATTGCTGCAGAGTAAAGACTATCTCCCAGCTCAGTTGTCACACACTGCCCCGAGGCCTTGGGCTGCCCAGAAAGCCCAGGAAGGCAGATGTACCACCAGATCTTTGAAGCCAGGGAGAGCACATAGTCCCTTACTGGTGTTTGCATGACAGAGCTAGAGAGGCAGGGGGATTTCCAGTAGCTGACCTGGATTTCCACGCAGCTTGATGCACTGGCCCCTGTTGGGGATGCCTTCAGCCGTGTTACCCGGGTTGATGATGTGGCACTCGTAGCCTGTGGGGCAGTGCAGAGGCTCATCTCCATCCTCAGTGGTACTGCAGGCCTCAGCTGCAAAAGAAGCCTGCAGGTCATAAATCATGGCTTTAACACCCACAGGTAACAAAAATATATGACAACATAGACACCTTCTTCCAGATCTCCTTCCAAACCCAGACTACTTCTCATGCAAGGATACCAAGGAGCTAACACCACCAAAGAAGCCTGGCAGAGCAGGGGATCCAGGGCACACCTTAGACAAAACCTGATGTGTCTAACCTGAGATGAGGAGTGCAGGTCAGCTCTGTTCTCTGCTGACAGCCTGTGGTGCAGGGTCTGTGTGAGAGCTGTGGAGACAGACCATCACCATGCTAGCACTGATGGGTGGTCCTTCTGGGTGGCTTTTCCCTCCAAGCAGCCATACATCTGATCCAGCCAGTGTTTCAGGCTGGGTGAGGAATCAGGGAAACGTGACCAGGAAGCTGGAAGCTTGCTGCTGTGTTCCTTGCTTCACACCTATTCACTTACTGATAAAGTTTCAACTCAGATGTGACTCAAGATGTGCAAGGCAGTACCAGCCCTTGTTACAAATGGAAGGTTTAACCACATTGACTCTGGGTACCCAGCAAGTGCAGGGCAGAATAAGAAAGTAAAGCAGGACTCACAGGCAGTGTTTGTGTCCATTAAATGTACAGACTGTGTGGGGACACTCCACCATTTAATTTGCCAAGATTTTAATTTCAAGGACCTCTGCTGTAACTCTTACATCATGACTGATGGTTCTTAGTTCACTAATTACTCCCTCAAGCTGAAATGAAGGTTTTAAGATAAGAACAAATAATATAAGCATGACAAGGATGAATGAGGAGGAACCTATTTTATCTTATTTATAGCAGTGCAACTCCAACGAGCTGGAGGCAGAATTTTCTCTTGAAGAACTAGGATTTTCCATAATAGATGAGAGTCAAGGTTCAGTGAGTCTGATACCATCTGTCTAAGACCAAATAGGGTAATTTACTGGCACTACCTGTATCACACTAAAGCTGATCAAAAGCTGGAATAGCTTTTCCATGAAGAATACATCTGGGGATGTTTCACAGAAGAGAACCTCTCTTCCTATTTCCCCTACTCCTTTTATGTTTCACTTTGAGGTACTGGAAAAATTAAATAAAAGACCATTCTCTATGGAATTAATGTAAGAAATCCAATCTCATTAGCTGTTCCAAGCTAAGATGCTCCCTGCTTCCCAGTTCCATGTCAGCTTGACACAACTCTGCAGCAGTTTGCCTGGGTTTTCATTCAAAGCAGCCTTAAGATCTGAGAGCCAGAATCCCAGCCCAAGGCATCTGTGTGATGAGATCTCCTAATCCAAGTCTGCCCACAGTCTGTCAGGCAGCTGACAGAAAATCTATGTATGTTGACAAAGCCTTTTTTCTAAAAAATTATCTATTTCTACTTATTTCAAGAATGGATTCTAATCCAGTTCTACGGAGTGAACACACAACACAGCATTATTCCTATAGAAACTCCAGCAGCCCCAGCAGCCCAACAACCTGGCAAGCCCTGTGCGTGTTGAACATATGATTTATTACCTTTTGTATAGCTACCAATATTGCAGAAAAGCCAGTGAAACATACTGTACCTTGTAAGACTTCCTCTGGGCCATCCAAAAGCCACCCATTTCCTCCCAGCCAGCGGGGTTTGGGCTGAACCAACCAGTCTAAAACTGTAAATCACAGAATCACAGAGTCTTAGGGGTTGGAAGGGAAAGATCACCCAGTCCAACCCCCCTGCTAGAGCAGGATCACCCAGAGCACATCACACAGGAACGTGTCCAGGTGGGTTTTGAATGCCTCCAGAGAAGGAGACTCCACAACCTCTCTGGGCAGCCTGTTCCAGGGCTCTGTCACTCCCACAGTAAAGACATTTTTCCTCACGTTTACATGGAACCTCCTATGTTGCAGGTTGTACCCACTGCCCCTTGTCCTATCACTGAACATCACTGAGAAGAGCCTGGCTCCATCCTTCTGACACTTAAAGCACTTATAAATGTTGATGAGGTGGCCCCTTAGCCTCCTCTTCTCCAAGCTAAAGAGACCCAGCTCCCTCAGCCCTTTCTCACAAGGGAGACGTTCCACTCCAAAAGACAGCAAACCAAACAGCCAGAAACAAGAAACCACGGGGCTAAAGGCAGAGCAGCCACAGGGCACCCAGTCAGAGCAAAGTCGCTGATTGCCTGCCCACTTCTCTCTCCCACAGTTTGCTGGTGGGGCCCACTCTACCTGGAGGGGGCTGCACGGACTCCAGGCAGGCGTAGATGCAGCCGTTGTAGCAGCAGCGCTTGTGGCGCTGGCACTCGGCGTCGGCGCGGCAGCTGGGCACCTCGCAGGCGGGCTCCGGCAGCGACTGGGGCGGCGGCGGGCAGCGGTCGTTCTTCTGGTAGTGGGAACTGTGAGAATGAAGAGGGTACTCATAATCCTTGCAAAGAGAAGAAAAGGAAACAAAGGTTTGGCACAAGGTGAATACCCAGCATCCCATCAGTCGAAGCAGAAAAGGGATTTTCAAAGTGGCTTTCGAGAGGAGAACTAACTGTTCAGCTCCCCTGGCCCTGTCTCCAGTGTACTGAAGACATGCACCTTGGAAACACCAAACCACCAAGTTACTGTGCAGAACTAATTTTATAATTAAGGTTACTGTAATGGCAATGAGGAGGTAAAAAACCCCAACCCCTTCAAGTCTCTTAGACTTGTTTGAGAAACAGACAGAAAGACTCCAGGCCTCCCTGTGATGAGCGTGCCTAAACACCTTGATAGCAAAGCAGTGGAAACGATGACACTGTACTGTTTTGATGTTACGTCCCCACACGGGACCTGGAACTCATGTCCCAGGCAGCACTTGTCTCCTCAATAGGCTCCTTCTGCCTTCACCACCTTCCTCTGGATCAGAACTTACAGAGAAGTGGCACAAAATCTTTCAAGCTTATCCCCTGTGGGATCCTGGGTTGTTTTGAAACCATGAGATGTTCTGGGTGAGATCTGTGTGGGTGATGTCAGTTTAATCCCAAAGGAAATGAGGCTGTGTTTGACTACAGCAGGAAGGAGCCCAGCTGCAGACCGAAAGGACAAGGGAGATTTAAAGTGGATTAACAGGCACAGGATTTTACCAGAAATGTTTCTACAAGGCAGCATTCAGATGTTATTCAGGCTGGCAGCGTTTTAGCAAGAAGCAACTCACTCTGACAGACGTGAGTCACCAGGCCCACTCCCTTCTCACCTATGGCTAAACTGCTCATCTCTGGGCTTGAGCTCAGCTCCCCTGAGCAGCACAAAGTACTCAGAAAGGGCAATCAGTTCTCTGATGAATTAATACGCATTAATAAGCTCTATTCAAATAAAACAATGGATTCTGGATGTGTACTTTTAGAAGAGATCAGCATCTAGCCAAAGGTGGGAAGGGAGCATGGCCAGGCACCGGGTACCCAGCTGTTGAGTTTCAGAGTCTGATATATACTTGGTCCCATCTCTGTTATGTTTTGAAGTCAAGAACTGGGGTTGTTATTCCAAGAAACAATATGGTGCAATTGTCCCTGAGGAGATCTCTAGGAAATTTCACCATCAGCCTATGGAGTAACTTGGGGTGAGACTAATATCCGTCGTTATCTACATGCTGCTACATCCTCATTGTTGAAAACTCCCAACGGCATCTGTGGAGCATGTGTGGCTTTGTGAAACAGGATGTCCCCACATGTACTACCCAAGAAAATGTCCTAGCAGAGACCCCAGGAGGTCCATTGCCCTGGGGACTGACCACTAATGTCTTCATTCCCTTGGGAAAATTTGCAACATAGAGAATGAAGGCAATCCCAAGGGACATCAAAAGAAATATTGCACATTTTTCATGCTACTGATGTAAGAAATTTTACTTCCATGTTCTGTCATGTATTATACAGTGTATATAATAAATATAATAACTGGCCATAAACAACTTTTTCTCTGAAACAACAGGAGAAATTTAAAACCCTCCAACATTTCTATCAAATACATGGAAAAACACAGATCATCAGTGAGTGAAGTTTCAAACATCAGACTGAAGGAGAGTTAAGTAATCTGAAGGACAAGACAAAAAACAATAAGAATAATAGTCTCCAGCTATTTACTCTGGATTAGCAGTTTTGGTTTTTCTATCTGCAGTATTGGAAGATTATGACAAAATTAGGGTGGTCTTTGCTTTGAGGTACACGTGGGACAGAACTCTCATGGGAGGTATGCTCATCTGGAAGAAGAGGAGGGTATCTCAGTGCTGATTTATGACAACTAACTGGAGGGTAAATACATTTTTGGACGAACACTACAGCAGCTGCAAGGAATTCTTCATTTCTGGAAACTTTTAAAAGAAGGCTGCATTTTTTTCTCAAATGCCTGATGCACTGAAATAAAATGAAGACTGCTCCAGGTTTTTCCAATAGACATGTAGATGTCTTGATAAAGAATTGAAGAGCACCCCCAGGCAGCTGCATCCCTCTGCCACAGCCTGTGCAGGGGCTGCAAAACACCAGCAGCAAATCACTGCACTTGAGGAGTGCCCCTCTGGCTGTATAGCATGTGGATTTGCTAAAAGCTGGAAGCCCAGCTCCTTCATCCCACCGTGACTGCCATTTTTTCCTTCTCACTGCATTCCTTCTCCTCTTTCTCCCTTCTCTGTTCCTGCTTGACCCCTCCTTGCCAACCAACACCCTTCCTCAGAGTCCTTAATGAAAAACTCCTGCCCAGACCTCGAGCCAGCTCCTCGTTGTGACACCTGCTCACCATCCTGCAGCCAGCAGTTTGGGGGATGCATTTCTCCTCCTCTGGACTCAGATTTTTTGGACGCAGACAACATCACTCTCGGTCAACTCCCTACCCCTCGCCACCTCTCCCCCCCTTGCCCATGTCCTTCTGGGGTCCCACAGGGCTGTCTATGGCCCATCTCCTGTATGGCTGCATTTGCTGTCAGCACCTCCATCTGTTATCCCTCTACCCAAGTGACTCACAAATCAGCTGTTCCACCCACAGCCTCTGATTTTCAAATTGTAGGGAACATACAGCATTTGGTAGAACAGAAAGCATCTCTCTGAGAAACAAGAGGGGCTGCCAAAACAGATTCTTGCTGGATAAGAGAATGGAGAGTAGATGCTTTCCTCCTTACAAAGCTCTGAGGAGAAGGAAAAAGAAAAGCATTTTCTGTTTTCCCTAGATAAGAAGTTTCTGTCAATATGAGCAATTCTAGCTGAGCTTGCCAGATCAGTAGCACCTGGATTCATGGCTGCCAGAAAAAAAAAGTCCTTTGAAGAACTGCAGATTGAAAGAAGAGGATATATCCTCAGGGGAGTGGGCTCTGTGCCTCTACAGAGCACGTTATCTGAAGATCAACATGTAAATTCCTGTTCTACTCCTGTCCTGTCTCTCTGGGTCATTTACTTCATAGCTTCTATTGAATTGGAGCTTTGCATTGGAATATGACAGAGCACATTAATAAATACACGTTCCAGTGAGTGATTTTACAGGAAACACAGCTCTTCGTGTCATTTCCCAATTAAAGTGCAAAGCAGATGGTACTCTGTCCCAAGGGAGGCTGCAGTGAAGAAAAATTCTTGTGAATACTGGGGTACCTTTCAAATGTTAGCACAATGTTTTCTGCAAAATTTCAAGGAGACAAGAGCACTGTGTTGCAGTTCATTCAGTACGGAAAAAAGTGTCACACTTCTGGGTCAGTGATAACACGAACCAAATGTCACTCTAGATGCCATGGGCAAAAATAGCATCCATTTTAAATTAAAATATTTTCTATGTGGCTGCAGAAAACAGGTGGAGGAATCCCTCTGTGACACCAATGAGCTTTTTGTGCACAGGCAATGGCTGGAAGATGCAATCAAACCTGAGCATGAAAAAACAGACTGGCTGGGGCTTCCACCTGGGTGACTGAAGGGTCAGAAACCTTGAGTCAGTGCTGGCTTCTAAAGAGACTTTAATGGAGTAAGTCAGAATTTCAAAGTCTATTTTTTTTTTTTTTTTTCTTTCTAAACAGCAGGTCCTGAAATCCAAGCTATCAAATTTTCCTTTTTAAAATATTTTTTTATTTCCTCCATGGCCATCTCTGACAGTCCTTTGGCCCAGATATACCAGAAGAAAACCCAGCACCATCCTTTTCTCACAGTTACTCACAGTAACTTCTTGCTGCTTCAGTTTCAATTCCAGTACTACTCTAAGTCCCACTGTAGCTTTGGAAATGGTGGTTGAGCTCAGTACCCACTGCTGAATAGCCACAGGGCTCTTCTACCCCTCTAAGACACTGGGCAGGCACTGCAAGGGCTCTATCCCTCCCTGGGGACACAGGGGACACTGGAGCTTCTGCAGGTCCATGCTGTTCTCTTGCACAGTGAGTCTCTTGCCCTTCCCTGGCTCGTTCTTATTTGCGAGGAGAAGAAGGTGTGATCAGAATGTTACTCTGTCACTGTGGATCTGGAGGTCTCTGTGCTCCAGTGATTGACAAAACTGCAGGCAATGCCACTGTCCCTGTAGTACACACTGTCACTGTGAGCTGGAGAAATCTACCTAGTTACCCCAAAAGGCAGTTGAGGAACCAGGCAGGGGACTCTTCTCCCTGCTCTAAGCAATAAATCAAGTTCTCTCGCTAAATCTCTCCCCAGACGTGTAGGTTTTGCATTCCTCTTCTGCCCATCTGTGATTCTATGATTGATCCTCTGATTCTATGAAAAGCAGTGGCTGTACCAGCCTCCTCTCACTGTTCCGAGGGTGCTTTACAAGCTCCCCGCTGCAGCAGCTAGGTGGCAAAAAGTTTCATACAGCTTGGGAAACTTAATGCAACCCTTTTATAAAGAGACAAACTGCAGATTCAAATACTTCTTCTGCTAAAACGCTACACACACGTAAAGAAAACTCCCCTTTTGGGGTGAGCATGCCCAGCTCCCCCTAAGCCACCCCACTGCCCTTTACTCACATCATACTTCTCCGTCATTTTCAGATGCAGAGCGCGCTTCCACAGAGTCCTCGCACAGCCTGAATCTGGCAGCAAAACTAAGACACACAAGGCTGCAGTGAAGATCTTTTTACAAAAAGGCATCCCTGACAGCACCTGGGAATCCATTTTCCCAAGGAGAGATGGAATAAGGAGCCTGGCTTTGGGGATCCAGACGATTCAGAGTCTTGGCAAGCAGGGAGGGAGACGGGGCGGGAGGGAGCGCGAAGGCTGATCTCTGGTGGCAGCTGCTTTCCCTGCGCAGCTTCTGGGAAGGGAAGGGGGAAAAAAACCCAAGAGCCCAGGAGCAGAAGCCAGGAGCTGCTGTTGAACTTCTTTACTCCAAGTTAGACCAGGTTCTCGGCTCGCGTGTCCACACAAAGCACATGCTCTCTTTGAATGATAGATGGGGAGATTATTTGGAAAGATTATTTTTAGACCTTTGTTCCCAACATCTGGCATCCTCAGAGAGCCCCATTCAGAGCCTGAGTGTGGGATCAGATGACAGCTGCCGCAGGGGGAAACAGAGGTCTCGGAGGGGTGGGCTGGGCAGCTTCCAGCAAACAGCTCACCCAAACCTTCCAACCTACTCAGCTCTCCCTTTGTTTGCTTCCTCACTGCGCCCTGAGCTGTGGGTTTGGATCGTGTTTTGACAAAGTGATAACTTCATATGAAGATTGCTTGAAGGAAATGATTTAAAGACATAGTAAACATGCAGGGGCTTTAATTAAAGCAAGTTGACATTAGCTTTCTGCAAATGATTTCACAGAAGGGGAAGAAATGGCCATTGGGGAAAAAATAAATCCATATGCATGGGTGGGGAATAGGGAAGGAAAGCGGTTTAGAAATTACATGACCAAACGGAAAGCAAGGAAGGGGACGTGAGTCAGGCTGTGCCTGACAATGGGAGAGCCAGAGAGACTGGATGTGGGGTATCAGACACCTACATGGACATTCAGGCACCCAAGTGCCTGAAGGACAAGAATGGACTTACGAAATCAGGCAGGATGCTGAGATCCCAGCATCCTGCCTGGAACAGAGGCAGGCACATGCCAAAGGAAAAGTATGAGAACAGGGCGAATGTTTCAGAGACATGAGCTTAGATACATATGTCTGTGTACGCAGGCATGTACTTTCACAGCCTTCAGTAACGTTCAGGGATTCCTGAGCCAAATGTGGGGGCTGTTTATTTTATAATCCTCCAGTAATTTGTCCTCCAGCAGCTCATCTAGCCTTCACTTGGAATGAAGGAAGAAATGAAACATAAAGCTAGTCGAGGCAGGAGCACCAAGCCCTGCTTGCCTTCCATGTACCCTGAGTGCAGCCCTGCTCTACAGCCTGGGCAGAGCAGAGTGGAGGAAAGGCTTGCTGGGTGCATTGAATTTATTTCATACCTGCTACAAAAATGGGTCTGCACAGGACTGTTAGATCCCATGGACAAATATATAAAAATCTTCCAGTTCTTCCTTATACCTGAAAGCTGTGGCCAGTTACTTTGATCCATACCTAGGTGCCAACAGCTGCATGAAGGTGGTAGCCAAAGGATTTGATCTTGAAGCCTGACAATATGGAGACAGGAATCTGAAGAACAATTGAGATGTGGGTTTTAAGAGCTCTGTATTTAAATAGAAGATATTAAATTCCTTTAGAGATAAAGGGGTTTCAGGGTTCCTAGCAGTAACTGTGCTTTGGGATAGTCCTGTCCATATCTCTACTGCTGTAGAAAGTTTCTTCACAAGAAAACTTGTATAATCTGTGCTTGTATAATCTTCATCACTGCTTGGTCCATAGGTTGCTCCTGCAATAACATGACAGTTGCTGACTAAGGTGTGAATGAGGTTTTTTAGAGTATTCCTACTTAATTTATGTCTTTGTGCTGATATTTCACGTCTCTTTGCTCTTGCTGAAACCCAAACCAGCATGAAACAACAACTATTCATGATAAAACTCCCAAATTTAATTTTTTTCTTGTTTGTTTCATATACTTGTAATCTAGACTTGAAACAACTGATTTTAAACACTAGTAACTACTTCAGACACCATTTACCCTTTTGGCAGATACACAGCTCTGGCATTTACCTGGGAGAAAGCAGGGCCTGTGCATTACAGTTCATGGGTTGTATACCAAAGAAAGGAGAATTCTCCTGCAGGACCAAACTTCAACATCTGGTGATAGTCTTCACATAAAAGTGAATGTTGATGTTACAACACTTAGGCCTCCTGCATGCCACCATTTCACCTTAACTTCCCAAAGTACCACATGCAGTGGTACCAAATCCAGTACCACTGGATTAACCCTACTATTGGCTGTAGAAACTAAGGAACAGAGTGGGTGATTTGCTGAAATTAGACCTTAATCCATCTGCATGACCAAACTGCTGGAGCTGTAGCAGCTCAGCCTAGGTCAGGGCTCTGGGCTTCAATGCTTGATACTCACATTTAGTGGGGAATTCTTCACACCACCCATTTCCATGAAAGCAAATGCCCCACACCTTACCAGCATGTCTAGCCAGGAGTGTGCAAACCAAGCAGTAAGAACATTTTCTACTACTGAAAGTTTACTGCTTGGTTGTGTCATTCATAATAAAATGCTTATTTTCTATATGCTTGTCCAGGGACTATGCAGAACATCACTGAGTCAAGATTTTTTTGCTTCAAGATTTGTGGTGCAGTTTCCCACACAAAATTCCCACTGCCTTCTAGGATGTTAAATGAGATCACTCCATACATCATCCCTAAGCAGTGTCATTTTCTGTGCATGAATCTCTGCTCATTTCCATTCTTCAAATGCTTTCAATAAGACAAATTCTGCAGTAACATAAATTGCAGTCAGACGATAGTGGGAGAACATGGGCAAGACTTAAGCACCTCCCCAGGACTTGCAAAACCTTCAGCATCATTTGTTACACTGAGGAAGATGTATCTGAATAAAATGAGGGACATTTTATCAGGCTAGGAGAATAAAATAACTTTTGGAACCAGGATTCGTGCTTCCTGATTAGAATGAATTAAATAACAAGTTTTAAAAATGTTCTCAGGGAGGCTCTGAGTGAAAGTCACAGGGTGTTCATGCAAGCCAGGGAAAAATGTCTTTCTCCAGCCAAAAAGTGAGGTAGGTCAACCTAAGCCAAGATTTCCCCTTTCCCAGAGGAAAGATCTGACTTTTAAAGAAAGATTATGTCAAACAGAGAGTTTTCTCAGCACTCACAACTCCAGCAGCATGAGGTGACTCATTTTAGCTTGATATAATCACTGCACCTTCATGCCAGGGGTTGCTGCCATTCCTTATCCATGGTACTTAGTGGCCTGCTGTTTCCTTGCCAGCTCTGTGCAGGTTCTGCTGCCAATAGCAAAGGGCAACGATTTTATAGGGGTCAAACAGGTTACAGATTGTTAATATTACCTGATCCTGACCCAGATGCTCTGCCTCCCTCCCCCCCCATCTCCTGCACACCCAGCTGGTGGGCAGCACAGGTGGTCCTGCCTGATTTACCACTTGGGAATGGGGTTCATGGTGCCTGGGGGAGACCTGCAGGAGTGTGCTGGGATCAGCAAAGGGTGATAAAGCCCTTCCCAGGGCTTCTTATGGGTCAGATACATCAGGAGAACAACTCCACCGATCATAGTGACAAAAAAAACAAGCTATAGCTCCTCCCAGCTACTCCTGGATGCCTTGTGAAGGCTCAGCCCTGAATGCTTACCAGTCAGACTTCCACTCAGTTTTAAGACATCAGCAAAAACGAGTAAATCCAGAGTGTTTCTGTTGTGAATATGAGCACAGAAGCACATAGCTCTGATTAAGCTTCCCTCAGCTAAACTTGCCATGTGAAATTCAGGAAAACCTATAAGGAAGTGCTGGGCTCCCCAGCAGTGATGGATGGCATCACCTTTATCTGCATAGTCACCCCTCCAACCTGTGCTTTCTGTATGATCTCCTAAAGCAGCAATATTTTAATTGTTCCTTTTTTTATTCCTTGCCTAAGAGCCCTGCCAGTGATTGGCATTCCTCTCTGCATGGACTAGCTGGAAAAGGAGTCTCTCATGTGTTCCCATCAAGTGGGTAAATATGCTAATCAACAAATAAAAGAAACTGGAGCATCTCTTGAGGGGTGACAGTGAAAGCAGATCATTCACCCCAACACCCAGGGGGTTATTCTACAGGCAGCTCTACAGGAAGACACCAAATCTGGGTTCTCAGTATAGATTCTTTCCTTCTCTGATCAGGAAAAGCTGGCTATTGTGTCTGTGCCAGATGTTGGCTACCAGTGAACTCCATTGGGAATTTATAGGATGAAATAAAAGATCAAAAGCAATTCAAAACTCAGACAGGTGATTCTCTTTAAGCATCTGGCCTCCAGCCCCCACAAAGCCTGGAAGAGGTCAGTGTTAAATGGCCCCTGACCATTTGGAAAGGCCTATAAAGAAGAATACAAAGTGTCCCTACTTTTAACTAGCTTTATTGCATATGACATATAAATTAAACAGATGAATGTTATTAGAGAAGCACTCTCAGGAGTGCTGCAGCCCACTAACAAAATTAGCAGGAAGTCTTAAAAAATTGATCAAAACATTGTATTACAAAAATTCTGAGACAGAAAGGTACTTATTCTGGGAGAGAGGCTGGCCTTTGGGGTGCAGCATGTGGCTGGGCCTCTGCTGTGATGCCATGTGCCCCAGGGAGACTGTTACAAATCCCAAAAAATCCCCCTGGATGGGACCACCAGAGCTGCGGTTCTTGGCCACACGCTCCCTTGTGCCAGTTCCCTCCGGGACATTGTTGTCCCCAAGTCTTTTATCTCCAAGGAGGCCTCTGTGAACAGTTAGGATCCTGCAGGGAGGTAGGAGAGCAGATCTGAAGGGCTGGGGGGGGGGACAGGGAGCAGGGGCCCTTTGCCTCTCAGGCCAGTGGGGACTGCTGCATGCTTGGGGTTGGGGGGCACATCCTGTGAGGCTTTCATGCTGTGACTGCTGAGAGAAGCTGAGCCACAGACTGGAAACCTCAGAGAAATCTCCCTGGAGGACAGATTCCACCCTAAAAAGAAAGACATAGGGAGTTTGTCTCTCTGTGGATTCATATGGATTTCACAGCAAATTTGCAGCCCTTTACCATGCTCTGCACAGCAGCCAGACTGAATTCCCTGTGAGAAACAAGACTGTACTCAGGGACACCTAGCCCTAAAAAAGCAAAGCTGTGCTTTGGGGGCTCCCAAGAAGCCCAGGATACATGATACCTTGCTTGGACCACAGCAAGGCATAGCCAGGGACCGTGCAGTCATGTCAGCACGAGCACTAATAAAACCATATAAAAAGCACGTGCCATTAGCAAATTCATAATTTCACATATGACATTGAACCAGTGATTATCGGGTTGTTGATTCCCTGCACT